AAAAAAAAAAAAAAAGCAGACATACTGGAAAATAAAAATAAAATGGGGTGGTATTATTGCATATCATAACAAAACAAAAGATTGAAGCTCTTAGTACAAAGCAAGCACTGAAGAGCAGAACTAATGAGTTATTAAATTGGCCTCATATGGGTACAAATTTTAAGTATTTGTCTTTTACTAATAACAGCCAATTGGAATATCTAATCATAAAGAGAAAACTCATACACAATAGAATAATCTTACCAAAAAATGTATAAGATCTCTAAGTCTTAAACCACAGTTTTTATTCATTCACTCATTCATTCATTTATTTTTGCAGTACTAAGGATTAAACCCAGGGCTTTTGGATTGAGCTATATCCCCCTTCCTCCTTCCCTTCCTCCTTTACATTTTGAGACAAAGTCTCACTTAATCCCTGAGTTGCCCAGGCTGCGCTCAAACTTGTGATTCTCCTGCTTCAGCCTCCTAGAGTTCTGAGATTACAGGTGTGCACCAACATGTCTGGTTCACAAACCTTTTTTGAAAGATATAAAATGAGCACTTCATAAATAGATAAAATAAAATACATTGTTTTTTCCAAAATTAGTATTTACTCATGCAAGAAAAATTTATTGAGCATGTGCTGTGTTCTAGGCCCTCTTCTTCCCTTTTATGTTTAGAACTTTCATTTTTAGAAAAGGGACAGATAAGCCAGGGATGTAACTCAGCAGCACAGCACCTGGCTGGCAAGCTTGAGGTCCTGAGTTCGATCCCCAGTACCCAAAAAAGGGGGCAGGGGACCAGATAATAATCTAGTCATGAAAGAAATTTGAGGATGAGCAATAGCAGGAGAGTCATGAAAAGAACTGGTTGGTGAGTGCTGGGGAGCAAAACGGGGAGGAAAGTACCATTGTAAGCATGGTTCTCAAAGTTAGGCCTCACTGAGAAAGTGGCATCCAAGAGGAAACCAGACAGGTGGGGCCAACCATTTGGTCATTTAGGTGGAGATAACAAACAACCCAGGCAAAGGTTCTGAGTGTGGACATGTGCTTGGTATGTTCAAGGAACCACCAGAGGTGGTTCAAGACTATCATGAGGGCTTCTCTCTGAGCAAGATGGGAAACAGAGAAGTTGAGAAGACCTGTGACAGCTATATCATGGGTGTTAAGGGTAGCACTGGGTAGTGAGGAGACTGTTGCCATAAAGTAAACAAGAGATCATGATAGCTCAGATCTGAGTCATAACACAGAAGATGAGGAATGGTCAGAGGTGAATTTGCTGGTGAATCCATCCTAGAGTGTGAAATAAGCAGAAGAATCAGGTCAGATTTCCATGCTATGGTTTCTATAAGTCAAGATAGAGAGGTTCATTACGAGAAATGTTTAGAGTAGTTGTAGATATGTTAAGTTTGCCAGTATGAGGACATGCTGGGTAGGCATTTGGAAATAGGAATCTTGAGTAGAGGAGAGGGGTGGGAACAGAGTCCAGAAATTGGAGAGATGAAGCCAGCAAGAGAAGTGAGTTAAGATAGTAAAGGAAACATTTGAAGGAGAAAGGAATAAGCACCATGTTCACTGAGATAAAGTGGGGGCTAAGGATTGATCTTTGGACTTGATAGAATGGGAGGGGACAGGGTGACTTATGGCCTTGGCAGGTGTAATTCATGCTGGTGCCATTGGGTCATTGGGAGCTGCTTGAGAAAGACTGCAGTACAGTGGCCCCTGAAATTTGTGGGGTAACATTCCTAGAGCACCTGTGAATTATGAAAAACTGAATTTCTCTAGGGGACAGGCAGCAGCTATGCTTGTGAGTGTCCTGAGCTTTGCAATTTGAGGCCTGCAGTTTGGTGCAGGTGTCGCTCACAGCTACCGAGATCATGGTGTTCTACTTCATCAGCAGCAGTGTTAATTCATCTTCTTACACCATTTACATGGGAAAGGATAAATATGAAAATGAAGATCTGATAAAGTATGGCTGGCCTGAAGATACTTGGTTTCATGTGGACAAAATCTCTTTGGGTCATGTATACTTTCAATTGCATGAGGGAGAGAAGATAGAAGACATTCCCAAGGAAGTGCTGGTGGACTGTGCCCAGCTTGTGAAGGCCAATAGCATTCAAGGCTGCAAGATGAACAACGTTAATATGGTGTACACACTGTGATCGAACCTGAAGAAGACAGCTGACATGGACGTGGGGCAGATAGGCTTTCACAGGCAGAAGGATGTAAAAATTGTAACAGTGGAGAAGAAAGTGAATGAAATCCTGAACCGATTAGAAAAGACCAAACTGGACAGTTCCCAGACCTAGCAGCGGAGAAAGAAGGCAGAGATTGAGAAGAGAGGAATAAGAAAAAAGCCCAAATTCAGGAAATGAAAAGGAGAGAAAAAGAAGAAATGAAGAAGAAGAAGAAGGAAATGGATGAGCTTAGGAGCTATTCATCATTAATGAAAGCTGAGAATATGTCTTCAAATCAGGATGACAGTGATTCAGATGAATTCATGTGAGAGAAGAAAAAGACTTGAAAGATGCAAATATAGAGACCATTATAGACTTTCTGATTTCATCTCTGTTCTGAATTTTAAAAACAACAAAAATTCTGACTTCATTCTACACAGATATTATTTGTTTTAAAAAAATGTTCCTTTTTTTGCTGACAGAAAGGGACAGATATATATATGTGTGTGTGTGTGGGTGTGGGTGTGTGAGTGTGTGTATAATGATGAACTTGAAGATGACATATAACTTTAGGAAAGTGAAAATATTTTTTCCAGATCATGTCTCAGTGCCTGGTGGAAGCTGACTGCCCTTGCTCTTGAGATAGACGTTGGAACAAACCACCTCTGTGTGACTGTAGTCTATCCCTGAAAACAGATGTCTTGAAATGCTAAAACAAACAAACAAAAAAAACCCCCTAAATTTCAGATATGGTCAGAAAATTGCCTATAAATGCCTATTTTTATAGTTTAGACCCTAAATATGCTATGTCTCCCACAGTTATGTAATTTAATTTGATAAAATACTGTATGCAGTACTGTAATAATTTAATTAAAAACCTGTACAGTAGTTCAACCTTTTCTTTGAGTATTACACTTCTTCTCGCACTTAGGTTCATTGCCAGAAGCTGTAGAAGGGGCAGGGTACTTTGATGGCATCTTAGGGACCTTAGGTCTTTAAGAAGAATACTTGAGAGAGCTACATGCAGTACAGCAACCTGTTATGTGGGAATGCTGGTGCATCTGCCAATGCTGGTGCATCTGCCAGAGACGGGTTACAGGGCAGCAGCAAATCAGCAGCAGGGAGAACTGAATAACCCTTTCAGATTGGCTACTTGCAAACCTCCTGCCAAAAAATCAGTTGCAGACGATACAGTATTTGTGGTTTCTGCTAACTTACAGGAGTTTCCATGAACAATTGTTAGTTAGGTTCTAAGGAAAAATCCACAAATAACTGAGGCCAAGAACTCTGAACCTCAACTTTGCAGGGGTATACTGTAGTAAGACATGGAAGAGGGAAAGAATTGCTGGGATCTTGACTGGAGAAGAAAGGTGAAAACATGACAGCAGATGGTGGAAAAGAGTACAGCCTGGATGGGTCATAGCCTGGCACTATTAAAGTGCTGTTGGAGTGAAGAGTGAGCTGAAGTTGATGTTGAAGTGTGGGAGGGTAGGAATTAAAACCAGTGGGGATTGCAGTGATCTGTCATGGAAGGTCTCCAAGCATGACTATGGGAATGAATATAATAGAAGCCAAGGTTATTGAAGGAGAACAAGAAGTGTAAGGAACCCAGAACTTGGGGTGTAAGAATGATGACAACAGTGATCAGGGCCAGGGTTTAGCTCCATGGTGCCGCTGCCTGCCTTGCAAGCACAAGGTCCTGAGTTTGATCCACTCCCCCCCCCCAAAAAAGAACAATGATGTTATATTTTAATTAAGCATGGGAGGGTCTTAGGCGTGTGTTGATCTGCAACAAGAAGGAAAGGGGATGGTATATATACATTTAAGATGGGAGCTAAACCGGCTGTGGTGGCGCATGCCTGTAATCCCCGCACTTGGGAGGCTGAGGCAGGAGGATCATTGCAAGTTAAAGGCCAGCCTGGGCTACATAGTGAGTTCAGGGCCAGCCTGAACTACAAAGGGAGACCCTGACTCAAAAATCCCCCCACACACAAAAAAGATGGGAGCTATAGAGCCAGACTTCAGAGGAAACATGATGTAATATATGTAGATTTTCTGCAGAACTGGACAGTGACTCCGAAGGGCAGCTGGATGGATAGAGAGTGTTGCAGATAAAAACATTGAAAGTGTCAATGAAAGAACCATTGTGGGTTTTGGATAAAACTAAAACACTGAAGGAAGCTGCAGTGTATCTAAGAACTTTGTATATTGGGTAGAGGCATGACTTTATCAAAAAGGACAGAATTCTCCCTACATATGACATAGTAACTATGAAATAGATTCTGAGTGTGCAGAAATTAATTTGGATCCTTACAAAATACATCAGACACCTAAAACTGTACATAATTAAACCAGGAGAAAATAGAATTTAATATCTGAGACTCCTTATAGATGGAACTTGTTTTTGTATTGGGATTGAACTCAGGCCTTTTGCATTGGGTAGGCTACATCCCCAGCCTTTTTTTTTGGTACCAGGGATCGAACTCAGGACCTTGCCTTTGGGAGACAGGTGCAGCGCCACTGAGCTAAATCCCCAGCC